CAAAGCTTTTCACAAAGTTCCCTGTCTGTACATTCAATTGCTGTATTCGGAGCTTATTACTTATGGGCTCCTGGTTACCGGTACTTTCAAGAAACAGGTCCCTGGACTTAATCTATGAAGATGGCCTTACCCCTACGGCGAAAATTTCTTTTTGACCCTTGGCAGAAGGATGATAATCTTCATGCAAAATCAGTTAAACAAGACTGGGCTTTGATCTTGATCCTACTTCAGAGTTACAGACAAAATATTATCTGCTAATGAGGTGAAAGAGGCATCAGGTGTTGTTGTTGTTGTTGTTTATTTCTGCATATTTCTATTTTCTAAACCCACACCACCCCCTTAAAAATTTTCCCAGAGTATTTACCACTCTGTCTAGTACCCTGCACCCCTTTTTCTGGGTCAAGTGGCCCTATCTCCATCTTTACTACCCCTACCTCTCTATCATGTACCCATACCATAGTACTTCACTCGGTGATAAAGGCTCCCATCGCTTGTTCCTTCCCCAAGGGAACCCAATTCATTCGGAATCATTCTGCGTTTCGGAAACCAGTCAGTTCGGACAGTGTATGCACCAAACAAGATATTTTGCCCCCTGATGCTGTTGTTGTTCGGCATTTGAAAGTTTGAAAAAGATAATATGTAACATTTCTAGATAAGCCCTTTCTACATAGAGGGCAGATTTGTTACATTAATCCGGTAACAGGCATGGAAGCATGACAGTGGTGTAAATAAAACTTTTTTATTCGGCCTTCTTTGTATCACAGTTCAGTTACTCTAAATGTAAATGGTAGGTTCCCTAAGCACTAGGCCTAGTCTCTGCCAAGATTTTGCCATTCGACACTACGTTAAATCTCAGCGCACGTGCGGTTTTCATTGCTTGTTATTTTCGCTTTTATTTTTCGGATGAGGATCGTTTAACTAGACTTACATCGAAGAAAAAGAACATTACGGAACCATTACGGATATTGTAGCACTTTTCAAGGTTACGGAAAAGGAAACTTACTTGTTTGAAAGGATTTATCATACAGCATTGTATTCGAACAGTGTGCAGAGCGTAGTTGATCGGATCGAATAAAACGTGGTATTGACACTGAATTGACGACTGTTACACAAAATCTTTTTGACAACCCTGAGAAGGCATTTCTTGGCCATGGGTTGATACAAATTTATCTTCGATGTCGACAATATCTCTCTTTTGTGAGAGATATTATAAACTCGTATCCACCAGCGGACAAATGATGTTCTGTTTAGTCTAGATCTATAGTTACTGAATACGTATTTAAACGAAAAACAATTTTAAAACACATAAAAACATTGAGTACAGAGAACACCAGTAAATAGTATCAGCTAATAGAAAAGCAACTTCAACCTCCGACTAAATGTAAAACAAGTTCTCATTCCAACCCTGAGAAGGCATTTCTTGGCCATGGGTTGATACAAATTTATCTTCGATGTCGACAATATCTCTCTTTTGTGAGAGATATTATAAACTCGTATCCATCAGCGGACAAATGATGTTCTGTTTAGTCTAGATCTATAGTTACTGAATACGTATTTAAACGAAAAACAATTTTAAAACACATAAAAACATTGAGTACAGAGAACACCAGCAAATAAAATCAGCTAATAGAACACACAGATATAAAACACTGTACTCTCAAAAAGCGCATTTCAACTGAGTGTCCTACAACCCAACCCAAAGTGATCACAACTGCCAATCATCGAGCACTTTCCAATTCAGTATCGAAAAACCAAAATCAAGGTAATCACAACTGCCAATCAGAAAAAAGGTTTCCATGATTATTAGCCAATGAGAACTCAGAGTAGAAACAGCCAGCCCCCTTAAAGCGCGGGAAAACGCGAGTGATCAGGTCGTGTTTGGTCTTAGCTTTACATATGATTGGTTAAGATTGCGACGCGAGTCTTTCTGAGTTTCTGTGGACCAACCACACAAAGAAGTAAAGCAGAACCAAAGCAATACAGCATCACTTCCGATACTCAGTTGGAAACTGCTCTAAAAAAGGAAATATAACAAAAGGCCAGAGATAACTCAAAAAAAAAAAAAAAAACTAGCAAAGAGCCTGAAGCGCTGGAAATATACAAATGGCCCTACTCCAACACTTGATCTTGTTTAGGCTCGTACCTGATTGGTCAAGAGGACCAATCAATGAATATGACAATCTCTCCCCTACACCAAAAAATATCGTAAAAAACTAAAATATCATTGAGTTTAGGCGTAAGCTAATAAATCTCCACGTTGCACGAAATCTTTGACTCGTCTCTGTACAACAAAAAACTCATATAAGACTGTTCATGACCTTTTTCCCGACGGGAGCCATGAACTTGATAGCCAATTGCTGATTCAGAAATGAACCTCATCTCGCGACCAGGTATTCCTTTTTCTAGGGGGAGGGGGAAGAGAGAAAGAGCAACTTTACTGCTTCCCCACCATCTTTTCCCTCCCTCTCCACCCCCGGCACCTGATCCAGGCTAAAGGAATGGTGTTTTAAAATGGATATTGATTAATAGCTGATAGGTGTAAACTTTTCATCAGGCCACACCCTTTCGCTCTTTTCTCCCTAACATGGGTCCCCTTTAATCCCTAGTATTCTCCCCGATGAATAACAGCGTGATGGGGTCATTAACAGGAGTATATCCCCCGTCCCCAACCCCAGGGCTCTTGGTCTCTAAAATAATTCCTTGTTCAGAAATGTTTCCACAACAAAAGACTGTGTAAGCACACCCAGCTGGCCATGGGTCATGCTCAGTTGTAGAGGAATATGTCTTCTTTCTAGGGGTGTGGTGAGGGGAGGCTGTGTAGCTGGAATGTCTCCCAAACCATCAGCCTCTCCAGTCCTCCCTGTTACTTCATCTGATTTGCTCTGTCTCTGAACAATCAAAATGTGCAATACAACATCTTGGTTAACTTGGCTCTTAAACTGAACCAAGTAAGGCAGATGGGGTTCTTGTGAACTTTACATCTTAGCTTTCAACTGATGCAATCTGGCAAAGTCAAAAATAATCTTAAATACCCTTCTTCATCCAAAGAAGAGTTTTTAGGACAGCAAAAAGATAATTAATCTATTACTCATGCAGCCATTCTTGTTGCACAGTAACACACGTTTGAAAATCAAACAAGTAAATTTATTTACAATGCTGTCAATAAGACATTTGTTTTATCGATGGTCAATGCTATAGAAACTTAAAGGATAAGCACTTTAGAACAGTTCATGAATACAGTGGAAAATATCCTGTAATATCTGTAATTCATTCAATCAATCGACACTTTCATAATACTTAAAGGAACTTATTCATGAAAACTCCTGCATGCATAAAATACCTAAATAGAAATGCAAACTTGATGCATTCAAAACACTCCTCAGTCTCAGTAGACGGTTTCTAATAACAATTTAAATGTTATTCCTCCAAAAGTAATGAAGCACTATGAAATTGTTGAATTGTTTACAGCTTAATCATGCAAGCTGCTATCAATGTGTTAATTTAAAAATTTGATACAAAGGCATGCTTCATTTGATGAGAGAATTACTATTATTTAAGTTAACCAAAACTCTACCAAAATATGCTCACGGAAAAGTCTACTAGATGCTGGAAAAATGTAAAGTTGATAAGTAAAATTTATCATCAACAATTTACGTTAATCAATGCCACTGTACATTTATTTTGCAGAAATGTGTATTTTTTTTTTGCCTTAATAATACTCCTAAATCTTTGAGCGGTTACAAAGCTTAATCTCGTTTGAAATCGATTTTGTGGTCTGTCAAAACTATAACAAAATTCCGGCATGTGATTGGTTATCACCAGCTCGATTTGAGCACCAATTGGACAGTGCAGATGTCATGCTTGCAACTGGACAATTGAATAGAACAGTTGACATGTCATGCCTGTGTAAATGGACAATGCGTGTCATATGCAAGCGCTGTTGTCGCGCATTTCGGCGACTGAACCGTTGTCATTTCATGAAAACGTATAACCGATGTCTAGTTTCTTTTTTAAACTAGTGATTGACAAATGGGACTCCCCGTTCGTAGTCGTCCGATTTTGTCAATCACTCGTATGATTATAGACCGAATTGGACTCCACTCAGTCCTGTTACTATAATTTAATAAAAGCTCACACAATCACATTTCTGAAGTGATGAATCAACAATTCTTTGAAACTGTCCTTGAAAAATTAGAAGGCAAGTTACTGATTCTAGCCATTTTCTTTCAAGTTCTCTTGTGACACGTGACATGTCACAGTTTTCCGTAAATTAATAAAACAATAAAACTTACAGATATTCGCAAAAGGTTTGCTTACGAAGAATTGATAGTTACTTTCAAAAATGGGCATTCATTTCAGAATGTAAACTTCTTTCTTTCTGAAGTCTGTGACCACAATCCGATCATCTAGCATTGGGGTGACACTCCGCGGCCATCCAAACTGAATATTTGAACTTGTCTTTCCAGTTAAAGTTCCTTCCAATGTAAACTGTTGAACTTGATTATTTCCCCCATAACATAAGAAAACGTTATTATGTTTGTCAACACATAAGCCATTCAGCTTATTCATCCGTCCATCACCGTTTCCTTTTTCTCCAAACTTGTACAAAAACTGTCCTCTCTCATCAAACACTTTCACACAGTTATTATCGCGGTCAGTTACAATGAACTTTTCCTCGTAACAAACGCAGCTGAGTGGATGACCCAGCCTTTCTGGGCCACTGTTTCCAAACTCAAACACAGGTTCACCATCCATTGTAAACACCTGAATTCTGCTGTTATTAAAATCCACTACAACGATAAAACGTCCATCACTTGTAATACAAACACTTACAGGATACTTAGACTCTCCATCTCCACTTCCCTTTTTTCCAAAGCTTTTCACAAAGTTCCCTGTCTGTACATTCAACCGCTGTATTCGGTGATTATATTGATCGGCCACCAGAATCTCGTCATCGTTTACGAACGTGACGTCGACTGGATTCTTTAATTGTCCATTCTTGTCTCCATAAGAACCAATTTTTCGCATAAACTTTCCTGTCTCATCAAATACCAGTATACAGTGACCTTCATAATCAGCCACAGCAATAACACCTTTACTGTTCACTGCAATGCCGGTTGGACCTTGAAGCATTCCTCCCTGAACGTCCAACTTGCCTATAACATTTAACTCTCGTGCTTTGACCAGAATAGAAAATGGACTCCGGGCAAGTTTCTGTCCATTTATCTTTAATTCTATTTTATAAGGACCTGGTACTTTCGCTACAAATTTTGCTTGGAAATTTCCATCTTCTTTTTCACTCGTCACCAAGCTCCTCACCTGATCAGCAGGGTCTATGTGTATTTCAACACGATCTGTGTGCTGAGTGTTTCTGATTTCTCCTTCGCTTGTTTTGGGACAAATTAGTAGCTCTGCCCCTACACCAGCTTGGAAATTCTGATCCAGTCCTTCTACGGTCGATCCTTGCACATCTGTTTCGCTGAATTTCGTAAATCCCAGACTCAAACTCTCTGGTTTACATGTCGTCACAAATTCTACAAACGAGCTAGCCGGAAGTGCTGGCATTGTGGTCTTGATGAGGTCTTCGATTCGTTCTTCCACATTTTTCTTGCTTTGCATTATGTCTGAACTTGAGCTTCTGTTAACCAGGTTGTTACTGAACTCAAATGCTTGGTCAAGTTGCTTTTCAAAAGACACAACCGATGCTTTTCCAGAATATAACTTCTCAATCCTTGACACGCGAGTCTTCTCGAGGGCAGAAATGGCTTCGCGCTCCAGTTGGCGAAGCTTTCCCATCATCTTTTCGGTTGCTTGAGAGACTTGGCGTTTAGCTGTGGTAATGTTCGTTTCTAACTCAAGTTCCGTCTTCTCAAATTCACGAATAACACTTCCGCAAGCCTCTTTCTTCCCTTTGACCAGCTGCGCTCTGGCAATGATGTTTACTTT